CCCAGCCCAACTCTGTACATTACATGTAGGAACCAGCATTACCTTGATCCAAAACATGGACTCTTCAGGAATGAGGTAAGAAGGGATCTGAGGTTGAGGAAACTAAATTTCTGTCAAAAACTCCAGGCCTTTCAGGAAGGGACCATACGAGTACAGTGAATAGTATTATAAGGAGACAACTTGGGGAAAGCACTCTGCTGGAGATGTTGAATGATACCGATGACACTGGAGAGACCACCTGCCAAGAACTGATAAGACAATACATAACATTTCCTAAGATGGAAAATTATTATAAACCCACAAGGAGTGAGGAGCTGACGGAGAACCAGAGCAATGATGCATGATTTTAGATTCTCATAGCAGTGGTTATGAAGAGTTCTGTCCCCTAGGATATAGTAATGTGTAGTCTGATGAAAGTCAACCGACGTTTCGGAGGAACATATCACCTCCATCTTCAGGATTTAAGAATAAGATGGGCAAGAAACCAGCATGAAGCACTTAATAATAATGTAATGTCGATGGCCAAAGTGTTGCTAGGTACCGGACCAGTAAACACCCCATGACTGAATACAAAGAAGGCAACAATGGAAGATTTGTCTCAGTGGAAGAACGTTATTGCAAGTTGCTATGCAACAGCACACCGATGAAAATGCTGGCTAGGAATCATGTGACTTGTTCTTTGTGTGGTCTCCCTTATGCAACAGAACTGGATATTCTTTTGTGGTCCATGTGGAGGCTATATAATGAGAATAACACCAACAGTTCAGTTCAGTTCTCGGTGGAAGATAGCCACAGAACGTTCGCCATGTGAAGACTTTGTGTGATTGAAGACTTCATTCATGTGTGATATTTGGAGCGATTTGAAGCGCTTGTTCTGTGTTTTAATTGCATTACCAGGAGAGTAGTAGTGTATGAGTGTAACAGTAAATTATAAAGTGTGGAATCAGGCATAGCACTGTAATTAAATGTGATTAAGAGAGATTTGTAACCAAAATGCTAATAAATCCAATCACCCGAACTGGAACCCATCATTCTTGTCATGTGTACCACCCTACACATGGCAGCGGTGATGACGACGATGAAGACGACAGTAATATGGTCTGTAGTTTTATCAGGGGCATAAGTCGTCAATAAGCTTCTGCCTTTCTTCCCAATCCGCCACTAAATACCTCAGCTCACTCCACACAATTCCTCTCATGTTGTCATTCATACATTCATAACTCATTTCAAGACCCTATCCAGGACCAGCAGGTATAATTGAGGAGATAGAAGACAACCCTGTCTAACCCCTCATGTTGTTAGGAACGTTTTGACAAGTGACCATTATGGTATATTCTGCAGCTAAAGCTGTTGTACCTTCTTATGAAGCACTTAGCAAGCAGTTTATTCTTAGACCCTGAAGAATGAGGCAACATGTGTTGACTTTCAATGGACTATATGGTATTATATCCCAGAAGACAGAGGTCTTCAAAGCAACAGTGGTCAGCTCAAGTTTGGGTACCATGTGACTTTGTGTTGCACTTCTTGACATCTATGTGCAATTTTGGTTAACTGAAGTAAAAATGGAACACAAAGTCAGATCTACACAGTGCAACAGGATGCTGCAAAATAATATTGTCACATGTAGGGTGGTATGCTGGTCACAGTAGGAGCACGGTCTAAGGCATGTACTGTCTTCTCTCACTCTGATGCTGGGGTTCTGGGTTTGAAATCCCAATTAGGGCATGGATGTTTGGTTTCTGAATGCATTTATTCTGTGTTTGTGTTGTCATGTGTATGTGTTTAGTCTGTGTTTGTGTTGACCTGTGTTTAGGTAGAGGCCTTGTGACAAGTTGGTCACCCGTCCAAGGAGGCCTACTGTCTGTGAAGAAATGATCATGGAACTGAATAAGAGGCCTGGGTCCTGAATGGGCTCCTTCATGCTCTTGACTCACGGGTTCTCGGCTATGACTAGCTACGACTGCCCTGAACCAAACTTGCAAAGTCACATTGCAATTGATGGTCAGTCAGTCAGCAAGTCTTGGTGTCAAGCCCCATCTGGGACTCATGACCAGATATTTATTGCTGTTTGGCAGTTACGGTCTTGTTTTTTGTTGGTCACCTCTCTGACGAGAGGATGGGTATATGCTGCTGGCAGCCTCCTCTATTTTTGTGTAACCTAGCAACTGACTGTTTACCAAGAATTTGTCTTTGTGGGAACTTATTTACCAACTCCTTGCCTTGCAATAGGTGTACATGTGATGATATTACTGAGTACCACATCATGCTGCACACATTCCATATAAAGTAAACACACATTATTTCACCAATAGTGTGTGAACACATGCACACACACTGATTCACTCTGAAACCATAAACTATCAGACCTTTGACTGGCAACCATTATTTTTTGTCTCCACTCTCCAATTTGTACAAACACAATTTAGTATTCTTATGACAGAATACATGGGATGAAATGAATACAGGTAGTATAAAGCAATATGGTATGTTTTGAATATTATCCATGCAAGAGATTTTACTTCTGGTTTGAATCAAAATTATTTCAAGCCGTATGGCTATATATAAAAAATGACCTTAAGTCCTTTAGATTCTGCTGTGTCAAATTGGTCTGCGTTGACGAACTCGCAGTATTGTCATGGCTTCTGGCCAACTGTAATGAAAGAAAAATTCACATTAGCAAAGTGGTGTAGTCATGGTGATGTATGGATGAAGGAGTTCTAAGTTTCACTAAAAGTAAACTGGAAAATAATGAAGGTAAAATTATATGTACTCAGACCTACACTAAAGGCATATGTAATTTAGACAGTGGTTTCTGATTGTCAATCTCTTTAAAAATGAGGATTGAGTTTTCTTTTTCAGAACCATACAGCTGTGTCACTGATATAAATCATTATGCTGCTAAAAAGAAAGGTTAAATCTGAAGGGAAGTCACATTCTTGTATGGAGGCTCACAAGTTGAGGTTCTCTTGAGATAGGTATGGAGGATTGATTGTTAGACAACCCACATAAATCTGGAAATGCCACAGAAGGAAGAATGCTGTATAGGATTTGAGGTTCTTGCACCACTGGTTATAAAGATTTGTATCTTCTTGGATACAATGTTTTGTAGTTTGCTGAATGTTAACCAGTGTTTCAGAGGAATAAATTGCCTCCATCTTCACAATCAAAGAATAAGCGAAGCAGAAAAACACCATGAAGCAAGTACCAAGCAGAGCTGCACTGGCATTTGAAATCTCTTTCAGGTCACTGGACTGACAAGGCTGCTCATCTCACAATCCTTGGGAAAGACAATATTTATTGCAAGATACTTTTGATGGAATGAAATTATATATATATTTATTTTACAAAGTTACAGTTCAGAGGTAGATACAATAACACTGGCAAGGATACGCAGCTCAGAATCCTTGGAGAAGGAGATATATATAAGAAAAGATAATGCCCATGGAATGCCATATCAGACACTCTTTTCAGAAAATTATAGAAATGTGAAAGAAAGTTTTAGTTCCTTCATGAATATCCGACACATTTATTTGGGATGCAAAAATTCCTTTGCATCTCAAATTCTGAGAAATAAGCTCACAAAGCAAGTTTATCTTAAACTACAAAGAGATTCTGAACAAAAAACGAATGGAGATAAAGAAAATGTATCTATCCTTCCCAGATCATTACAGAGCTTCCTATGATTATGCAATTCAGGGCTACAGTACATTACTACAACTGTGCTGCATCACATCAAACTTCAAAATACCAATAAATACACAACAATCTAAGGTTATGGTATCAGCTTCAGTAGTTCTTGCTTTCCATTTTGTACTTTTTGTGATCTATCTGTGAAGGGATATTTCTGTCATGCATGGCTACAAATTACACACAGTCTTTCATAACATAGGCACATGCACAATAGTTGAAACATGCGTTCAGTGAGTCCACAAGTCAACGTTTGGATTAAACACAAACATTACTGAAACTGTCCCTTGGTGTTATGTTATACGCATGTTCTAACACACTATCTCCTCCCACCTCTTCCTCCTCCACATCATACGTCTCCTGCAAGGACGTGGCTCCTCCCAACTTTAATTTCAGTGCCTCATTCTGATAAAAGATTACACCACAACATACATGAAGTACACATACATTCGTTGCCAAACATGATGCCAAGAATGACAAAGTGCTCTGATATACAATGTTGGACTCAGGTACACCTGACCCACTATAAAAGGAGTGATGGAAATTTTCACTCTCAGCCAATCACAATGGACATGTCAAAGTTAACATAACTTGCACCAGTGGAGACTGAATCAGGAAGTTAAGCATTCTCTCCAGCCTATTACATGATTTCAACTTCATGCTTATAATTCAGATCTTACAAAAATGAAAATATTTCTACATCTGATATTAATGCCACGTATTTATGCAAAATACGACACACACACTTGTTAAAGTCACAAAAACTGGTAATTCCAGCAGCTATTAAGGACTCAATTTTGGATGATCCACAAAGTTAGAAAGGTGTACTAATGCTATATGAAAAGATTATATTTTTTTAGACAAGTTAATTTCCAAGATACAAAGAATTGCTTCTCAGAAAATTTAATAGCGCCGAGAATCGAACCTGGGATCTCTGGATCTGTAGCCAGGAACTCTGACCACTTAGAGGTGGTGGGTTTCCCCATGCACTTAAACCAGTTATTGGTCCATTGTACGTCCCCCTTTAATTTCTACTGTCCCCATACCCTACCGGTACTGGTGCGTGCTATCAGCCCCGTTCAGCCAATGAGGCCGGCCGTCGGTACCTAGACCACTAGACCACAGAGGTGGTCAAGTGATGTAACAGTAATTGATAAATAGCAAGAGAATAAATTAGATATACTTTTATGATAAAGTCACATTTTATTGTAAGGTGAGATTTGTTCTGTTCTACGAAACATTTGGAGAATAATTAATATGTACGTGGGGCAATCCAAAAGTTTCCGAAATTTGAATTTTGCGCGCGAATGGTTATGAGTAGATCGAAATACCGCTAGGTGTCTCCTCACACATCCTTCTTGAATCAGTGTGGCAAGCGGCGTCGAGTTGAGTGGTTGGGTTTATTGTTGGTGAATGTATTTCCATTGTTGTGTTTCCGTGAGTTTGCGGTTTTGCGATGGCTGACCTGAGAGAGCAGCTTGTCTGTATAAAGTTTTGTTTCAAACTTGGGAAAACCGCTGCAGAAACGCACCAAATGTTGAAGCAAGCTTTTGGCGAAAACAGTTTAGCCCAGACACAAATTTACAAGTGGTATAAGCGTTTTAAAAATGGCCGAACATTGACTGATGATGACGACCGTTCGGGACGGCCGTCAACGGGCAAAACACCAGAAAATGTCGCGAAAGTTAGGGATCTGATTCTGCAAGATCGTAGACTGACCATCCAAGACCTCTGTAACACTTTGGGACTAAGTTATGGTACATGTCAACGAATTTTGTCAGAGGAACTGAACATGAGGAGGATTGCGGAGAAGTTTATGCCACGACTGTTGCAAAATGAACAGAAACAGCATCGCTTGGAAGTCTGCAGGGAACTTCAGCAACAGCTTCAAGAGGATCCAAACTTTCTTTCGAAGGTTGTCACTGGTGACGAAAGTTGGGTTTATGGCTACGACCCTGAAAGCAAGCAGCGATCGTTGCAATGGAAGAGCCCTTCTTCACCTCGGCCAAAAAAAGCTCGACAAGTCAAGAGCAACATTAAGTCCATGTTGATCTGTTTTTTTTTTATATTGGCGGGATTGTTCATAAGGAGTTCGTCCTTCCTGGTCAGACAGTCAAAAAAGAGTTCTATCACGATGTTCTAAGACGTTTGAGGGAGAACATGAGGAGAAAACGTCCAGAGAAGTGGCGCACGAACGACTGGGTACTCCACCATGACAACGCACAACCGCATACGGCTTACATTGTGCACGAATTTTTGGCTAAAAACAAGATGGCAATTGTTCCCCACCCACAATACTCGCCAGACTTAGCTCCATGCGACTTCTATCTCTTCCCCAAGATGAAACTCAAGTTGAAGGGGCGAAGATTTGATACAGTTGAGGAAATTCAAGCAGAAACGCAGACGGTACTAAACACCCTAACAAAGAAAGACTTCCAGGATGCATTTGAAAAGTGGCAGAAACGCTGGGATCGGTGTATGCTCTCCCAAGGGGACTACTTTGAAGGTGTTGGTGCAGAATAAGATCTAGGTAAGATGCAATAGTTTTTATTAATATATTTCGGGAACTTTTGGTTTGCACCATGTATATAGTTACCGTCTCTTTTGGTGCTCCTCTTCGCCACGGGATTAAGTTAATCCGTCGACTTTCCTCGGCTTGCGACATCTTGCTTATTATATGGTTTAATTTTTTGTATTTAATCAAATTCGTTAACAGTACCTCCCTTCAGCACACTAATGACGGAACAAATTTTTGTTAACAGAAACGACTCGACAAACGGTGTCAGTTTCACAGCAACGTCACTGATATTCTTACGACGCGTCAAATTGTCGATTCCATTGCAACGTGACTGTTAAACCTATTGTCAATTTCATAGCAACGCAACTGTTATTGTTACAGTGCTGACAACTGCGAGGTCTAGTAAGCGTATTACATATGTTTGCTTCGTCTGCTGCTGCCGCTGTCCTCACTAAGTTTAAATGTACAAGAGAGAAAGCAAGCATGTTGGTGCTTCCGAATTTAAGATGACCGTCATTATTTGTAGCTGACCTCCAGTTATAAGGAAACTATGTGTAAGTGGAGTTGGAACTATTCTTTTGCTATAATGAATATGTGATTGAAAAGAATATTATTTCATGAAATTAGTTTTTATTGATGTATTTTCATACAATAACATTATTATATAGATTACTTGAGCTCCATCTCTTCCCTTTGCAAACATGCCTTTTTTTCCCCCTTGATGTATTAGAACTCCGGTCAAGAAAACCGAGATTAACGGCCGTAGGGATTTTTTTGTAGAAAAAATATTGTAAATACTTAATGACTAATTATCTTACATTACATCCACACATTAATCACTTTATAAGCTATGTAACACCCGCAGACAACTCAATGCTATTGCCTGTCGGCGTTGCGGAAATGACTTCACCAAAGCATTAAGGCATAATCATACCAGAATAATATACCCCAAATAATAAAATAACTCAATAAAATATGTAAATACTAATAACTTAATCTTCCTACCCAAGAAAGAGGTAAAGGTAAGGTAAAATCCCTGTGGTTAAATAATAAAGCACAAGGCCACGAAGGCGTATGGGGGAGTGGATGTATAGATCCTCATTTTCTTGACCTTGACACTAGATGGAGGCGAGTGGTCAGCTTCATACCCCTGGGGAAAGAGCCCCCAGTACCCATTAGATAAGAGGCTGGGTGGCCCCCAGAGCCTCTCTGGACGATATGGACAAGTGAAAATTCTGACCCTACTGAGACTCGAACTCCGACCTTTCGGTCGTCCAGTGAGCTCGGGTAGTGCAGTCGGAATAGCGACTGCCTAGGAGCTGGATGACCATGTGAAACTTGGTGTGTGACATTAAGGGAGGAACACAGACTTAGGGTGTTTGAGCACTGTGTGCTGAGGACAATTTTTGTACCAAAGATGAATGAAATGGTACAAGATTGGAGGATACTGCGTAATGAGGAACTTCATAACTTGCACTCTTCGCCACGTATAATTAGAATGATCGTGTGAAGGAGTATGAAGTGAACAGGGCATGTAGCACACATGGGGGAGAGGATGAATGAATATAGGATTTTTATGCTGAAACCAGAATGAAAGAGACCACTAGGAAGACTTAGCTGTAGGTGGGGGGATAGTATTGTCACATGTATGAGTGACTATAGACAGGGTATGGATTGATGAATGGATTTATTGACCGCTTGTACACACCACTCAGAACTACAATCAGTTATAAAATTACTGCTGATTTCCACACTAAGTCTTCTCAGTCTGCTTTCACTAGGTGTTGCTTGATAACAGCTCTCAACAATGCCTATTCCTTAGCAGTATTTTCGCTAGACGTTTCCTGATAGCGAATCTTAGCAATGCAGATTTTTCAACTTCCATGGTCTTGCCATTGCCTGCAGGTTAACACTCCACACCTGAACTAACAACTGAACTGCTGACAATTCTTCCCAACAAGCAACTCATTGCTTAACATTTCGGCATGGACCACATAGAGAAAACTGTTTCCATTGTTGTGGTCCAACAATATCTTGACCATTGCATAGAAGTGGGTGTTTGTTTATTCATAAGTTGCATAGCAATGGCAGGATGGGGTTGGTATGTACTGGATTCATCTAGCATAGGATAGTGGCCAGTGGAAGGGTCTTGTGAATATGGTAATGAAATTTGGGGTTGTATAAAAAGTTGTGTAATTCCTAAGTAGCTGAGCTAATGGCAGCTTCTGAAGGAGGACTGAGCTCCATGCAGTTAATTATATAGCTTATGGCCATGTCATTCCTCTCTTTTTTTCATTTATTTTGTGGTTATGTGTTTTGCTAACACGTACATTGGCAAGCATCCTGTCCTTTCCTAAGTAGACACCCATATTGTGTGTGTCATAATTTGTAAATTTTTATTTTTATGTTTCTTGGATATGTACTGTTTGAAAGTACCCTCTGCGTTAAGAATACTGTAACGTGTTTAGTTACTGAAGACGCCGTTCAGATTGTTAATTGGTTTATTTAACAACCTGCAAGTATCGGCTACAATTAATTACAACAATGTTACGGGTTTACACACTTTAGAACCCTACACACAAATCTCTTCACACTGTCCTCAGTAGTCTACACGTATTCACAGTATGGGAGCTATACAAGTCTCTCTGTATTACACACTCCCAATTACACAATTACACATGCGTCCGGTTCTTCTTTCCGCGACTGCTCCTATATTCCAACTAACTGTCTTCGGCGGCTGCTACACTTTAACTGACTGCTGGCTAGATTCCATCTCAACTCAACTGTCTTCGTAAGGTCAAGGTCATGTTACAACTGATGGTCAGTCAGTCTGTCTGTCTTGGTGTCAAGCCCCAGCTGGGGCTCATGACCAGATATTTCTTTTGAATGAAAGTTACTGTCCTGTCCATGTGGGGCGCCCTCTCTGACGAGAGGTCGGGTCTGTCATTTGTCAGTGAGTCTGTTTTAATATGTCCATTGTCTGTATTTACATAGATTTATAATACACACTTATTTCTTGCTTATATGTACAATATATACAAGCCTCTGTCAGTCCAGGCTAAGTACAGCAGATTACGCCCTATTTCTAGTATTATTCGCTACCACGGCAGTCTAGTCCTGTCTTCGTAGGCAGTGTAGTTCTCTTATAAACCCTCAACCGGACAACGGGAAACGCCTCGCTTCCTTGTTGCCTAGTCGCCGTGTTTGCTGATAGCCTAGCAACGCTGTTGGGAGTTCTTTACGGCTATGTAGCAACTGCGGTGTCCCGTGTTATGTAATGGGTACTGCTGTTTACTCTCTTTGCCTAGCAACCGCTGTTTATTCGCTTTGCATAGCGACCAGCGTGCTTGGACTCGGCTCACTTCGGCTCCACTCGGCACGTCAACGCTGGCGGGGGCGTCCTCCATAGCGCAATGCGTCACACTGTTCCCTCCTTAAGGCTGTTCGTCCCGAATAGCCTAACGGTGCACCCCCGTTCCTTTTCTTCCAAGGATGTGCTTTCTGCGTCTCCTGTCGTTTCGGCTACTCCTTGTAGGTACTATTCTCCGGCCGTTACAACCGCTCCCTGCTTAAGACCAGTTCGTCTCGAGCGGTTTCCTGCTAACTTTCCAGAAGATCCAGTTGTATCACATTCATCCTTCTCTTTCATTCTTCCCTCTTTCACTCTTGCTAGGAGGCCGGTGTTTCTACTACCGGTTCCTCCTATATGGGCCTTTTTCCTTTTTCCGTTTTGGAGGTGGTCGACCCCTCCACAATGTCAATTTTCTTATTTTCCGTAACCCGTTGGAAGTACCGACTACTTGTTTCGCGAACTTTCTTCTCAAAGTCACATTGACGGTCTTCTCTTTCAGGCGTAGCCGTTCCTCTACGTCTTGGTTCGTTATGCCCTCGCTGCACTTCCGTTGCGGCTGACGCCTCCTCCCGGACGTCTGTCCTGTCACGGTTCCCGTCCTTCCTTTCTAGGCTTCTTGTCCAGCATTGACCCTGGTTGAATATTTCTCTACGGGATCTCCCTTGCGCCGTGTCGCACCTGCACGACTGGTCATATTTCTGTCGTCAGCCAATTCGTGCCGCGGTCCACAATTTCCCTGAGTCGTAGATTGCTTGAAGATGTTTCTTTTGCGCCATGCCACTGTTGCACGGCGGGACACCTTCCTGCAGGCGGCGGCCAACTTCATCCGGGATCCACAAATTCCTCGGGTTAGTTCCAGTGGCTCTCCACGTCTCCCTGCAGCTTGCTTCTTGCCCCTGTACCGCTTCTTCCGTCCTTTGATCGGTTTCACTACGGCAACTTCGTTGGGGACTTCTCGTTGTTGGACCACTTCAGGTTTCCTGTCCGCTGAGGTCGCCTCTTTTTCTTCTAGACTTGCCTCCATCTCTTGGCAGGCCAAAGTCTCGTCCTCTATTTCGGGATTAAATGAGTACACCATCTCCTTGTGGCTGGTGCCCATATTTTCTCGAATGGCGGCCATCTCTTCTCGCCAGGCTTTCGAGTCGGCGTCCATTCTTTCCCTGTTGGCGTCCATTTTTGCCTCAATTATTGCCAGCATTTCGATTATTCGTTGCATTTCTTGCTTCTTCATTCTAGCCATCACTGTTCCATCTCCCTGTGCGGGTATCACGTGGTCCTTTGCCACTACTAAGCTGGAAGGGCAGGGTCCTGCCCCTGAACTACATAACGATAATTCTTCTTCCGCCAGACACAGAATTTGGCGCCCTATGTCCACAGACGCATCATAGGCGCGGTCCAGTCCCAAGATGAGCTCATCTGTGATATTCGCGACGAAAACCCACATTGTTATCGGTCGGCGCCCCAGGGTAAGGTTCAACAGAACTTCTTTCAGGATGGGTAGGGATCCTCCAGACACGGTCTGCAGCGTGAATTCTGGATCTGGCTGTCTTTCAGGCCATCCGGCGGCGACATCCGGTCTTACTACTGTGACGTATGATCCAGTATCCACTGTCATCTGGCACCGCTTATCACCGACCCATCCCTGGGTGACCAGACATGTGTTAGCTTTCTCCGTCATGTCGGTGAGGGCGTAGTGTGGGGGCCTTAATGCATACGCCGGCCGTCGCTCGTTTCCCAACGGTTGGATACCCTTCCTGTTCGTGTGTTCGTTGTGGCTTCTTGGCAATTCTCATGTGTATCTGCCTGGCCTATCTTCATGTTCTCGGCGCATTTCATTATTAGCCTTACTTTCTTATGGGCAGTTATTCCCGAAGTGGTCCAGTTCTCCACAACTCCAGCACCCTGATTGTCTACCGTCTCTTCGTTGGGTGGGGGGCAATCGGTACTTCCGGTATGTCTTGGTGCTCCCTTCGTGAGGTCTAGCTGCTACCAGTACCGCCTGCAGCTCTTGCGCTTGTCGGAGGGCCTCGTTTACCTTCTTCTCCCCTCCCAGCAGTAGTTGAATCTTTATATTGGCATCTCGTATTCCGTATACGAAGGCTGTTCCTGCCTCTCTTCCTATGTGGTCTGCAGGTAGATTGGCGTAGGCACGACGGGCAAGCAGTTCAATGGCCGTGGCAGAGTCTTACAGAGATTGTCTAGGTTTCTGCGTCCTTGTTCGTAATTGGCAGCGGTAGGCAGCTGCAAAGTGTTGGTCCCCGAAACGGTCCTCCAGTGCCCGAAGTGTTTCCTCGTAAGTTGTATTTGTCGGAATGCCGGGTAGCACCTCTGCCGCCCGGCCCTTCACAGCAGTGATCAGATATGTTGATTTTTCTTTGTCTGACCATTGGTTGTGTTCTGCCACGGTCTCGAACTGTCGCCGGAACACGCTCCACGTTGAATTGCCGTTAAATGTCGGTGGCTGGGCTGTGCCCGCGCTTACCGTTGGTGTGATTCCCCTCTCGGCCCTCATCTGTACTACTTCCAACCGGGCCTGGAAATGGCGTTTGGTTTCTTCAATTGCTGCACAGGTTTTCGTTAGTTCTTCCTGGAGATTTCGTTTGTCGTGTTCAACGATCGCCAAAATGTTTTCAACTCTATGTTGGATTTTATCATCCAAATCTGACCGCATAGATCGCATTTCGGCCTTCATTTCTTCCTTTTCGGCCTTCCTATCGGCCGCCGTCTTTTCTTGGTAGGCGTATAATTTTGTCAGCATGACGTCGGTTTTATTTTGGGGGGGGGGTTGATGTCCAATTTTGCCAGGAAATCTTCTCTGTCGTTTTTCCTATTGGCCTCCATTTCGTCCTTCTCGGCCTTCATCTCTTCTTGATGGGTTCAGAAGATGGGGGCGATACGTTCCTCCGAAACGTCGGTTAACACCACATATACACGGTGCCAAATCCCAGAAGACTGCATTCTTCATAGTCACCGCCGTGAAAGCCTCAAATCTTACATATGTTCCATTACTTCGTTTGTAGGGTAGCACTAGGCGCACAATAATTTATTCCACTCATCACCTGTTTACATTCGTAACACACTTCTGACAGTCACGTGTGTAAGTTCATAACCACTTCTGACACCAAATTTAACGTGTTTTGTTACTGAAGACGCCGTTCAGATTGTTAATTGGTTTATTTAACAACCTACAAGTATCGGCTGCAATTAATTACAACAATGTTACGGGCTTACACACTTTAGAACCCTACACACAAATCTCTTCACACTGTCCTCAGTAGTCTACACGTATTCACAGTACAGGAGCTATACAAGTCTCTCTGCATTACACACTCCCAATTACACAATTACACGTACGTCTGGTTCTTCTTTCCGCAACTGCTCCTGTACTCCAACTAACTGTCTTCGGCAGCTGCTACACTTTAACAGACTGCTGGCTAGATTCCAACTCAACTCAACTGTCTTCATAGGCAGTGTAGTTCTCTTATAAACCCTCAGCTGGACAAAGAGAAACGCCTTGCTTCCTTGTTGCCTAGTCGCCGTGTTTGCCGATAGCCTAGCAACGCTGTTGGGAGTTGTTTATGTCTATGTAGCAACTGCGGCGTCCCGTGTTACGTAATGGGTACCGCTGTTTACTTGCTTTGCCTAGCAACTGCTGTTTACTCGCTTTGCATAGCGACCAGCGTGCTTGAACTCAGCTCACTTTGGCTCCGCTCGGCACGTCACCGCTGGCGGGAGCGTCCTCCATAGCACCATGTGTTACAATACAATAAATTTGTTCACAACCAAGTGTTCAGGAGGAGGAAATATTTTGAGTATGCATGGTTCAGCTAGTGAAAATATGTCAAAATTACTATAGTTACCATAGTTTGGGTCAGTGATGACAAGGGGATTGTCAGAGTTTGAAAGATGCAGATATCTAAGAATGTGAAAAACTCTGTCACCTCCCATTGTTCTGCCATAAAAAGGCAAAAAGAATTATTGAGTAGTCAGACAGTGGTCTTTCAGGTTGACACATCCATCATGTCCCATTTAACTAATAATCAACAGAAACATAAACATTTCAGAATCAGTAACATCATGTGCAGTAAGAGATCCATCATCAGGGAAGTCTAATCATTGTTCGTAGTATAATTTGGTTTTCTCCACCAGAAAAGTGGTAACGTCTGCAAAATACAGCCTAAATATCCTGTGAGGAGTTGAGTCTTTGTATATTTTGTCACAAGATGATGACTAGACACTAGAACTCGCAGCTACAAGTAACTATAACACTTTATATACACATCAGCACAGTTTTCAATTCAAAGAACATTTCATTCTTTTTTTTTTTTTTTTGACATATATTTATCACAACCAAAACCCCATTGTGGTTTGTATTGTTATTACTGTTGTTGTGTTGCTGCCATCAGTTACAATTCCATCTATATATCATTGTGAGTGTTCAAAACCTCTGAAAATTCCTTATGTGACTTGTGGTTCTGATTTGTTTCACATTGTAACAATTTGTTCGCCTCCCCTAACATTTGCTTTACATGCCAATTCTTCATTCATTATTAAACAAGCCTGATGACTGATGGTGTAGGGTTGACTGATTTATGTTGCACTGCATCTGAATGTATTGGGAAGTTTGTTTGACTCTTGAAAATAGAAGTACAATCTTTCATAAAACGTGATACATTTAAATATCAGTTATAAACAGTAAGTTTCCTTTCAGGACCTGGGTAAGTAAATCCATGTAAATGCACTGCAATGAACTGGGCAGCTATGTCACAAGGATTGTTGTAAGCCACTATTTTATGCATCTACCAATCAGTCATGTCTGATGAACACCTTTTAAAGTTAAGAAAGATTATGCAGTCTCTTGATACAAGAGTGTCAAAGATTATACTGCAGAGAGTTGAGGAAGTATATCCTGCTTTGAAGGAAAGCTTGGTGAGTGTTGTGTACTTTTGTAAATCACAAAATATTTTCTGATTGTTTTGTTTTTAATTTTGGTTTTCTAACCTCTCAGTTCATTAAGAATGGCTTGTGTTAGCATATTGTAAGGTAAAGCTATCCCTGTAACAGACCATGGAGGTTCATGGGCTTGTGAGAAGTTGAAGTTCCCACATTTTCTAGATAAGCAGCTCACAGATGGTGATGAGGTTGTTAGCCTTATGCCCTGGCTGCCCTTTCCCCCCCCCCCCNAAATTCCAGGTACTCATTTCTGTTAGAGGCTTAGTTGATCCCAGGGCCATGGTGCTGCTGGAGGAATTAGGTAAATTGAAGAAATCCAATGACCATCGGGAATCAAATCCGCAACCTTTTGCCTCATGGCATAGTGCCTCAACCAACTAAGCTACTGCATGTTCCCTTAACATATTCTGCATTTCAGTTAATGCTACTATGTGCAATATAGTGGGTTTGGAATATTTTCTTATTCTGTCTGGTAATAGCTGTAACTAATGTTTAGGATGTATACACATAGCATTAGACACTGTGTCAGTTCTTTCTCTGTCAGTATTGTAAATCAGTGTTGTGTACGCGGTGTTTGATTTTATAAGGATCTCACAAAGAGGAAAGTAAAGCTATCCATGTAACAGGCCTTGAAGGCCCATAGGGTTGTGAGATGTCAAGGTTTCTGCATTTTCTAGGCTGTCAGCTTAGAAATGGCGGTTAGTTCGTCAATCATACACACTGGCCGCCCTTTAGACACAGGGAGATTCCTGGTACTTATTTCTGTTAGAGGATGAAGGCCATAGTGCAGCTGGAAGGATTAGGTTATGTGAAAAATTCCATAACGTCATTGGAAATCAAACCCGTGACCTTCCAGCTTGTAGCATAGTGCCTCAGCCAACTATGCTACTGCGTGCCCCCATTAGGATCCTGTACATCTCATATGTAGGTCTACCAGAAATTACCTGAATTAGTATAGTGAAAGTGTGGTACTGTGAATAAGGCTTATGACTAGTACTTAATTATAGTGACAAAAACCATTCGAAGTTTGGATTTTTTAATGTATATATAGAAAATCAATGCATAATATGAGGGACTTTTTCCCCCAGTAGATTCATTATGATTCCTAAGTAGCAGTTGTTCTCCTGAAACGATTATTCAATAGGGAATTAGTATATTCATCTTCGGTGAAATTCTTGGGTATTGATATCTCTGAAAATTTGAGCTTGTTGAATCACACTCAATATATCTGCCTTAAGCTGAGCAAGGCTCTATATCTGATCAAATCCTTACGTAATTCTGTTAGTTTACAGGTATTAGGAAATGTATATTTTACTAAATTTGAATCCATATTTAAGTATGGTATTATGTTTTGGGGTGGTGGAGGTAAAGAGATAGATACAGTTTTTAAAGTACAAAAAAATGCATAAGAGCCATTATGGGCGTTGATAATCGGCATCCTGCAGAAGGCTGTTTGGTGAGTTAGAAATTTTAACTGTTACTTCTTTGTATATACTGGAGATTTTATGTTTTATCATAAAAAATAGAATCTATACAACTCTGAACTCTGATGTGCATAATTACAATACAAAGCATAAACATAATCTGTATGCCCAACATTGTAATACAAATCGTTGTAAGAGAAGTGTGATAAACATGGGCATAAAACTATACAATAATCTTCCTATGGAGTTAAAGAATGTATCTGATTTTAAAGTGTTTAGGAGGAAATTGAAGTGTTATTTGTTGCATAATGCCTTCTACTCTCTTCAAGAGTTTTTTATATGTAAGATGTTGAATTAAATGACTGTAATTGTCTGTTAATGCATGTGCTGGTGTTTTTTTTATATAATATATTTAAGTATTTATGTATTCTTTGATTATGTTAGGTGTGATTGTTATTAAATCTACATATTCCCTTTGACTTTATCCGATTGTATATTTTACAGTTATGAATGTAAATAAAATTATGAATTATGAAAATTTGCACCAACTATATTTGCAGTTTTGCTTCCAGAATTAATTATAGTTAGCAACCTGTGATGGCCCCTCTCTGCCCTACCCTTGTATAGGAGGAAGTTCACAGTCCAGAAGATAACTGTGAACAGATTGCTTCCTCCAGGTTTTAACTACAAAGAAATGTTCATCACATACTGTCTGCTGCTCTTCTCCCCCTGATCTTCCCCAGGCTTAAGTGGAATAATGTCACAGAACACAAACTATGCAGGCACATGTTTAGGGTTTTGTCACAGCAAACATCTTCTGTATTCTGGTTGTCAACGACAGCAGAATTTTTAAAACTGCAATTGTGGCAACAAAATGGAAGAGCATGGACTCAAAATGAAATATGAAATAATGTGTGCAGCTTGTTAAAAAGCAAGACAGGGGAGTGATGTGGCATAGTCCTTTGCAAAAATTACTATCCAGCTTTGGAGCCAGCTTCCTGCAGATGCTTTAGTGACTGTCCCCTGAAAAAGGGTAATTTCAGCAAATGGGTTAGAAATGTGATAAATGAGGTGAAGTGAAGGTGTGTGGAGAGAGAAATGTCAGTGCATCAGTCCATGATGATACGAAAATTTATTGTACTAGTGTAGAGCATGTTATTTTCTTTTTTTATTATTATCACAATATCTTTGTATTTATTATCTCAACTATCTTAGGTCAGTTAATGGTAGTTATAATGGTATTGTATTGGGACTTGTGTTTGTATTATAATTGTATTGTAATGGTATTCATTGTGTAGTATATGACCCTTACTGTTCCATAGTTTTGTTTATTGTGTATTTTGTGCACTGTGCTTTCTTCGAGTGGGGCGGGTTATTTTGTGTGTTGTGTCTTATTGTATTACCACTGCCACAAACCCATTTGCAGTCAAATAATGTCACATATTCTTGTTACATGGCCAATAATTAATGGACTCTTAGATTAATTGATTTATTGACAGTCACCAGTCTAACTACAAATAATTGTAAAGCTTCAAAAGATTACTAGCACAGTAACATATAAAGTAAAGTCTTCAGCACTCCCACTTTTGGATGCTCCTGGAATGAATTCAGTGATTTTAAGTCCTTATGAAGCGAAATCCAATTCCTTAATTCTGTAAGTTTGTAATTCAGTAATCCCTTAATTCTGCAGTCCCATAATTAATTAATCTGTCTGGCAAACTATCCTGTTATAATGTTTTGGCAAACCATGTGGAAGACACCTCTTTCAATAATAGAATTATTGTGTTCTCAGCTGTTACTGTCCTTTGAAGGGTTCATTGCTCTGGATATTGGCTTTCAATCACTTAAAGTTAGGCTGCGTGTATCAAAACCCTAGTAACGAAAGTTCTATAGTTGCCTGTGTCACCTAGGAAATGTGTTTACTGAGCTGTTGTCTAGCTATACATGTTACAATCATGACGATAAACTTCTACCTATATGTTAGTGAACAACAAACAGAAAGTGCAATGTATATTGAATTCAAAGAAATTAACATTGTTCCTTTCTTTCCTGAGTATGTATTGATGATATGTATGTGTGATATCAGTTTGTGATAGTGTGGCAGATGTAGTGAAATGAGATCTGTGTCACCAGCATAGCATCGTAGGCATGGGAACTACAGGTGGTACGGATCCTGTCCTGCTGTCTGAGAAGGAGGGTTATTTTTGTTCAGTTAAATTCAATTGAATTTATTTTTGTTCATTAGATCTACATTTGGCAATGGCGCCTCTAGACATAGAACATGTCAAAGCCCAAGTTACTATAAAATAAATCCAGAGGACATCATAAAGATATTAAAACTTATAAACAGCCTTTTTTTGCAATAACTGTTGATGCATTGCAACTTATTATCATAATAAAATACATATTAATATTGTCTATAACAGAGAAAGCACATCTAGAGAATTATAGGTATCATAAAATAAAAGTTTTTTTTAAATGACTACTGTTGTTTTTTTATCTGTAATTAACCCAATCATCCCTTGTTTTCCTTTTATAATACTCATCTAAAGAATAAAAGGAGCCCACCTGCAAAAAAATTTTAAGGGAATATTTGAATTTATTTAAATCTTGCGATAAATATGAGTGTGGTAACATAGATGTGTCATTTGATTTCAAAAATAAATAGGGATTCATGTAAAGTTTACCTGCAACACAATGCATTTTACAGCTAAATGTAATATCTGCTTCATGACCGTCACTTATCATGAAAAAGTGTGACAGACTAGAATGAAACAGATCAAACCAATCACTTATGTTTGTATTGTCAAAGTGTGTGTATTCCATCCATGGTATTTAGAGCATTCTGTAATGTGGTGTACATTCCTAACTATCAGCGTGATTTACAAGTACATTGCACCCAATGTTATATCTGTACTCAAGTTTGATTCAAGTCCATATGTTTATTCTCACACATTCAGCAAATTATGGGTAGAATATGATTGATACTTTTCTGTGGAAATGAACAAAATAAGGGTCAGGACTTTTTCTCATAAAGGACAGCTCCTAATTAGTGGTTGGCAGTGGGTAGAAAAGACATGAGTTAAGGAATTCTTAAACTCTTTACTTCACATGATGCTAATGATGACGAGATTGCCAACAAAAAAAAACACTCTGGCTTTAGTCCGCAAGCGAACTATACCGACCGAGTGACTGTCGCTTATTGGTGAATTTAGTGCAAACTTTAGCAGATAGAGGGTGTTGCATGGTCAGAGCAACGAATCCCCATGGCCGTTAATTTCTGTTTTCTAGACTGGAGCCACTACTTTTCCATTCAAGTAGCTTCTTAGTTATCCTCATGAGGCTGAGTGGACCCCATTCCAGACCCACTACTTTGCAGAAAATCTGGTAGCGCCGAATCTGGAACCTCTGGATCTGTAGTCAGTAACTCTGACCGCTAGACCACAGAGGCAGGCACGAGATCACCAAAGTATTCTTTATTGTGTTGTTTCCTTCTTATAATGACTTCAAAGAAGATGAAATATAGCCATGTCCACATTATAATTTAAAAACCTTAGTGTCATGTTGTACATAACAGGAAGTGAGGGGATGGTCTTTCCTAGTTGTGTGTTCTGATCAAAGGGAGATATGACTATCATTACAGCACACATTTTTAGGAATTTTATGAATTCTTATATTGAGGTCCTATTGTATTTTGTGGAATATTTGGGATGTCAGACTTAATGTTAGGAGGTGCTTGATATGAGTTTTATATTGCACCAGTTAGCTAGACTTGTTTTTGTGTCCTCATTGTCCCCTCAGGTGAACTCAGAGATGGTATTTTAAGTGAATTATAACCTGTTTCTGGTATGTCTGTACCAATTCAATACTAGTATTCAACACATTACATGAGCACGTGCTGGATCAGTATTAGGTAAAAGTTCAGCACCTGATAACCCGTTATGGGTTCAAAACACATGCTTCAGATATATTACCTTCATGTAAACAGGTTATCTGTGTACTTTTTGCAAATCATCGTGTTGAATGAAATATGAAATAAAGATTTTATGAGCTTGTGTTGTATGTTATTTAAACATTCTGATTTTCGTACATGTTTAAACTCTTTTTATTTTCTTTATGATTTCATTGTATTCGAAGCATAAGAAATGTATCATATAACAATTAAATTTTGTTTATAACTTTACAGCAGAACATTGATACGATCAAAGTAGAAAATGATTTTCTGATCAAAGAAAACTCCATTGATGTGGAAAGTAACAAGGTTTATACAGCAGCAATATGTTCCATAAAGGAGGCCGAACTCAAGGTGAGTTTTGTTTTCAGATGATGTTTCTAATTTTCTAACAGTTTGTATATGACATTGGCTCATGGGGAACCCTGTTCCTTTTGTGGAGCCTTTCATTCATGATGGCATGACATGATGGTTGAGAGCTGGAATAGTTTAAGAAATAGACGCTAGGCAGCAGTGTGGTGAACATGTTGTCTCAGCAACTGATAAACATGCAACAGCAGAGGAATTCTTGAAGTGGTTGTTTCTGTGCAGTCTGCCGAGGTTGTAAAATGACACCATCCAAAGTAGGTTGGTTATAACTTATGCCTGTCCCACCTGGGAGTGTGGCGGACACTCACCTCTTGATATTGCAGTACCTACAAAACAGAGTACTCTGCACTATTGGAAATCTTGACACCTGTACACCAGACCATAAGTTGCGTGTTGCTTTAAAAATTTCTTATGTATATGACTGTATAACTAAATTATGCAGGACACAGGGATATTAAAATGTTATTATATGTAGGTCGTACCGAAAGTCGTGAGCAACTTTTTTTGCATGCAACCTGAGACCAGCAGATGAAAGAGAGTATGGTGGTAATGGAACTAGCTGTTGTGTTAAGCTTGAGTGTCCTGTGACGTCAATAGCTTGCATCACGTGACCAGTATCACTCCTAACAAAATGGCCGACAACCATCTGTTGTTTCACCAGCATGCTGTCATTGAATTTCTTGTGAAAGAGGAAATCTCTGCTGCAGAAATTCACCAGAGACTTCAGCATGCTTATGGAAGTGTGTGCATGGGTGCGAGCAGTATTCGAAGATGGGTGAAACATTTTAAAGATGGGAACACCAGCATCGAAGATGGGCCTCAGAGCAGTTGTCCTCGAACAGCCTCAACTGAACACAACAAGGAAAGAGTGGATGGGATCATTCAAGATGACAGGCGTGTGGCTGTGGACACAATAGCCCGAAAACTTGGAATTGGGCACAGTGCAGTACAGGAGAAGATT